CAGCAGTTTTTACACTTAACAGTAACAATCACTGTAGTTCAGCAGCTGTAATTATGCACAGTTGGTTGAAAGAGCTTTATAACTAAAGAGATACAATACCTGAAGGAATTAATTCAGAGTTATTGCTCATTATTAACAGTCATCTACAAAATGAATAATGATTTAACTATTGTTTGTCACAGCCACTAAGAGCAATCCCCAGGACAAAATGACAAAATCTTAGTTCTCAGGAATAAATGAATACCTGTCCTTTCCCCAGCTATTTCCATTACTTCACTAGGACTCCTTAAAGAGATTATGTTTATCTGTGTCACTTTACCCAGCTGCCATCTCCGCTTCTTCTCCAAGCAATCTGAATTTCTCCTCTGCTTCCAAACACATTTGCTTATTTCTGCATTTCCTGTCTTTTCAGCCTTCTTCCCTTTATCCTCAACACCTGCAGAAACCATCATATTCCTGCACAAGATCAGGCCTATCTGCTGTCCTTGCTTCCAAAAAAGTGTGCAATTATTCCTGATCCTGAAGGCTTGGACTCACAGGACAGACTGTTTGGATGAAGAACCATCACCTTTTACCATGTGACACAGAAATAATGGTGGTGGTTAAGGCAATGCAGTGTCAGAGCAGCTCAAGGCCCACAGAACCCCTAAGCACAGCCAGCCGATGCCAGGTTCTCACCACTGTGAACTGAGTCACAAATCCAACAGGAACCAACAAACCACAGACACCCTGTAGCTTTCAGACATTCAAGTGGAAGTCATCTTTCATAGACCTTGCTGGTTTCAGCTGTCTATACACAAAGAAGAGCACCTGTTTCATATTATTTCCAGTCCTAACCCTTGGTCTCCTGCATCGATCAGCATCACCTTCAAATGTTTTTAATGCAGCCTCGCCTTGGAGTCTCTAGCAGCTGAAGGATGCGAGATGCTCCTGAGCCAGCTGCCAGAACTTCACGCTTCAGAGCAGCTCTCAGAGCTGGATTTCAGCTGGAGAGACTGAATGCAGATTGGAACAATCTCAGGTGCATGGAAAATGCAGAAGACATGTCCCCACTCACTGCAGATTTGCTGTTCTATCACTTTCCAGGAGCAACTCATGACATTCTTTTAGAAATTACTATAGCCTTTACTTAAGTACTGCTTTTTGATTGTTTGTTTTAAAGCCAGATAGACAAAAGATATGCAAGTGAAAATTTCACCAATTAATGACAGAATTTAACAACAGAATGACTAGGTTGGACGAGACCTCCAAGATCATTGAGTCCAACCCATGCCCTAAGACCACAACTAGATCATGGCACTGAGTGCCACACCATGCTTTTTTAAAAAGCATACATGGACTCTGCTTTCTCCTAAGA